GGGAAACGACTCAGCCCAGCTCCCGCAACCTTAGCAAGTTGTTCTTAGGTTGCTTCTGGATTGGGGGCAGAGTTTGTAACCCTCCACTCAGTTGTGCTTTTTCCAATTGCAAAATTAGAAAAATACTTGCCCTGTTTGTACAAAGGTATTTTTTTTTTTTGCTTTCTGTTTTGTCTTTTGGGCTCCCTGGCAGTGTTCAGGAGGAGGCCTATGGGTCCTTCTGGCAATTCCAGCTGGGCAGGCTGGTGATCAGTGTGAGGGTGTGAGGGGCTGAGGATTCGGTGCCCGGGATAACCCTGGTCATGGTCAGTGACCTCTGGGGCTGCACCAGCAGTTCTGGGAACCACGTGGACCATCCTAGGGGCTGAAACCATGTTGGCCATGAGCCAGGCTTGGTCTGTGCCCCTGCCCTCTCTCTTGCTGCCCCTGGCAGGATGTTCTGATGTTTTAAATTGGACAGCATTCTCCCCGTCCATGGAGAGGGCATTCTGCTTAGGCCCTGCTGCTTCTCGGCTCATCTCTTTAGAGAATATTATGTAATTCAAATCCTTGGAAGCCTGGAGACTTGTAGTGGCCCCCTTAGAGGACACTTGGCAGTGGATGAGCGTTTTTCCAGGGGTCCCTTGAACACTTCCTCGAAGCCCCCCGGACACGCCCTTTCTCTCAGGTCTCTATGGCCGTGCAGGCCCCCTCCTGAGTCCAGCAGTTGTTTTAGCTGTGTGCGCTGATAACACACAGCCACAACCAACCTTGAAATCCAGGTGCCTTATGGCAGCAGGCACCCTTCACACATCTCCCACCCTCGGGGTGCAGGTTGGTGGAAACTGTATGGCCCTGCCAGGCTCAATGGGCAGGGCTGGCTGTGGGAGTGCCCAGCATGTCTTCTTTTCAGACCCTGTTGAAAATGCTAAGTCTTCCTAGACATCTTCCCATTTGGAAGAATTCCGAGCAGATTGGCCCAAACTGAAAGGGACGTATTTCAAGCCTCATTTCTGAGTTAGGGGGCTGCAGCCCCTCACCCCTTATTCCCTGTCAATCACCAGCCAAGTTCTGGAGGGTGGTTGGGTATGAGGGGTGAGTGGGGTGGTAGGAGTGTGTGTGCACCTTCAGTTGGGTTCCACAGCAAGACAAGGAGAGAAGAAAAATTCTTCTGTCCTCCACTCTTGGACGCCAGCAAACAGTGCTGACTCAGGGAAGTGAGTCATTTTGATCTTTGCCAAGAGATCACTATCCCACCTGAGTCTTTACAAAGAGTGGGAAAGGCTCAGGAACTGCTTCCATCACGAAGGATCGGGATGCTCTCCTCAGCACCCAGGGCCGCAGTTTAAATGCCTGAGCTGTGAGTCCAGGGCCTCGCCTCAGCCTCTGTAGTTGGCTAACTGCTGCTGCAGAATCCCTGGGGCTGTTGCTGGGAGCGCATCAGATGCAGAGAGATGCACTGTCATTCTGTGAACGAAGGGAGAGAAGGGGCGGAGGAAATAAATGGACTCTTTGGAGCTTTGCCCTCATTCTATCAATTCAAGTGTCTCTCCAGCAGGGACCGGGAATGTGGATAATAGCTTTAGATGCCACGCATGCATTGAGAGTTTGCATCCCTTCTGTGTGTTGACGCCCACAACGGAGGGTAGGCAGGAAGGTGGGGAGCACCTACAGGTGATGGTCCCCAGGGTCCAAGTGCCATCAGGAGGAGGAGGAGGGGGAGTACGTGGAGGAGGAGGAGGAGGAGGAACCGAGACGCCAGGCTCCACGTGGGCTCCAGGCGGGCTTGAGACAGACAAGGCTGTCCACGCGCCAAACGGGCTTCTCACATCCCATTAATCTCGCCTCTCAGGCTCTTTAAAATGCATGTGATGCCGCCTACTTATTTTAAACTAAAAAGAAGGCTGAGTGCAAGCGAGTGTTTTGCCTCCGATCCCCTCATCCATCTCCCTGACGCTGAATCACACTTTCGGGAGAGAAGGGTGAGTGCAGCCCAGTGATTCATGATTTCATCACGACCGTTGGAAGCCCAGGTCTGCCATCAGCGGGTGCAATCCATATTCTCTGCCTTCAATAATAGAGTGTTTAAGGAGATGTTGTCATAGTCTGCACAGAGACCTGATCTTCAAAATAATATTCTTGGCCAAAGAGGACTGGAGGAGAAAGAGCAATCATCAACATCATTATTCTTATTACTTATATTGAGTCTCCGAGAACCCGAGTTTTGGTCATCAAGGGTACTCTGGCATAGTGTGAGGATCATTGCTTAGAAACGTATTTCAGAGTATGAAGGATGTTTTTGGCTTGAGCTGCTCGGCGGAGGAGTGGGGAGATCCGGATGAGCTCCGAGTCCCACCTCTGTCTCCGGCATGAGGAGGGCTGGGAGGCGGGACTTTGGCATGAGTGAAAATGAAGGTAGATTAAAAATCAGTCTTGGTGCCAGAGTGATAGTACAGTAGGTGGTGTGCTCGTTCTGCATGTAGCCGACCGGATTCCACTCCTGCCATCCTGTCGTGTCCCCCGAGCGAGCCAGGATTGATCCCAGGACTGAGCCCTGAGCAAAAACAAAAACAAAAGAAGAAAAAGAAAATTTCATCTTTGAGATAAAATAGTACTTTGTCCCAGAAATCAAAGCTAGTCACCGAATGGAAAGGCACCTGTGTGAGAGGGGTGAGAAGGGTCAGATTTAGGGGTGCTCCTGGAGGCTCACTGCTGAGGCCCTCGGGGAGGGCTTCTCTCAGAGTTCCCCAAAGCAGAAGTTGTCACTCCAGCCTGGCTGGTGGGTGGGACGCTTGGGCGGTGCCAGGAGCTGGTCTGTCTCAGGACCTGAGGATGTGGGAGGGAGATGGGGTCTCTCCCACAGACCGTCAGCTACACACCGGCCAGCAAGACTGATGGAGTCTCATGTTGGCTCTGACGCAGCTTTAATCGTTCACAGCAGGTGTTTCTATCAGGACTGTGGGGCTGAGAGGCTGTTAGTTCTGTCATGGTCTGTGACAAGGAGGGTCCAGGTCTAGGATGACAGGACGTGAGTGGCTGCTGGCCTGTAGCCTCTGATTGGTGCCTCTCTGCAGAGATGGACCACCCCATCCCATCCCTGGTCACACACCTCAGGGACCAGCTTGCATCCTCCCTTCCTTCCCTCTCCCTCTCCCTCCTCGCTTCCCTTCCCTCTCCCTACCGTCTCCCTCTCCATCTCTCTTTCCTCTCCCTTCTCTCTTCTTTCCTTTCCCTCCCCCCTCTCCCCCCCCCTCCCTCTCCCTCCCCTCCCCTCCCCTCCCCTCCCCTCCCCTCCCCTCCCCTCCCCTTCCCTCCCCTTCGCTTCCCTTCCCTTCCCTTTCCTTCTCTTCCCTTCCCTTCCCTTTCCTTCCCTTCCCTTCCCTTCCCTTCCCTTCCCTTCCCTTCCCTTCCCTTCCCTTCCCTTCCCCCTCCCTCTTTTCATTCCCCCCTCCCTTGCTCATTTCTCCCTGCAGACCCCCACTCCCCTTCCTGCAACCCAGCCTGGCTCATCCCCCATCCTCTCTCCAGAGTCAGCCCCTGGGTTCTCCCTGGCAAAGACACCCCGGCCACCATGTCTGTCCATCTCTGACTCGCTCCATGTCACCACTGAGGCAGCTGCTATTGCACTAGCAGGACTTCCCCACCCATGGGTGCTGTGTGCCGCTCGCTGTGCACACAACGACCTGACCCCGGGCACGTGTTGGGTGGGTCTAGATGCTCAGCTCCAGCATTGACCGAGCTCTCTTCTGGCTTCCCGCTCGCATTCCTGCCAGGACCAGGATCAGAGTCTTGGCGTCTTGGTGCAGCATCAGAGTCATCCGAGCAGCCCTGAGCCTCACCCTGAACTCAGGCCGTGGGGTTGCTGATTGCATATACATTTCTGCTCATTTTCAAAATTCTTTTAAAAATTTTGGTGCTCAGTGCTGACTCCTGGCTCTGTGCTCAGGAATTACTCCTGCTGGTGCTCAGGGCTTACTCTTGGCTCTGTGCTCAGGGCTCACTCCTGGCTCTGTGCTCAGGGATAACTCCTGGCTCTGTGCTCAGGGTTCTTTCCTAGCTGTGAGCTCAGGGCTCACTCCTGGCTCTGTGCTCAGGGCTCACTCACAGCTCTGTGCTCTGTGCTTACTCCTGGCTCTGTGCTCAGGGATCACTCCTGGGTTATGCTCAGGGATGACTCCTAATGGGGCTCAGGGATCCTACAGGGTACTGAGGATTGAACTCAGATTGGCCATGTTCGGGGTAAGCACCCTGCCCACTCTATCCTCCCTCTCTGATCCCCTTCCCATCCCCACCTTGCCTGAAGCCTGGTCACAGTCTGAGCTTCACAGAGGCCTCTTTGTGTGGCATGTTCTGCCAGCTGTTGTGTCCACATTCAGCATGGCAAATGTGACTGCAGGGCGGAGGCCACCCAGCCCGTGCGCCCGTGTTGGAGATGGGGGACCCTTGGCCCATGGGCCCGTGCGGGGGATGGGGGATCCTTGGCCCATGGGCTCGTGCGGGGGATGGGGGAACCCGTGGCCCGTGGGTCCGTGCTGGGAGATGGGGACCCTTGGCCCATGGACTCGCCCTGGGGATGGCACTTGCTGCCCTTCACCTGCCATCAGGTACCTGGTTCGGAGCTTTCCTGTTCCCCGGCTAATAGTGATGCTTCCCTGAAAACCACCAGCAGTGACTTTAATCTTGAGGTGGTAAAAGCAAAATACTTACTGGGAAAACACGTGCCAGATGATCCCTGGGCCATGTGGTTTTGACCCGAAGGCCCTTTTGAAGACACTGAATCAGGAGGAGATGAATCCGAGGGTTGGCTGCACCCAGCGTGACCCCCCCAAACTGCAGCCAGTCTCCTCATCCCTGAACATGCATGATTCCAGTGCCCCCACGCCCACCCCCTGCCCACCCTGACATGGGACTAGCTGTCACACAGGACATGGAGCCATCTGGCATTGCTGCTTCTGTTGGCGAGCAGAAATGGGGTGGACAGGAACAGGGCGCACTGACTCTGGGTTTCCCCTCCCTCCCAGGTCTCCTTCTTCCTCTTCATCATCTTCGTGGTGTACACCATGCTGCCCTTCAACATGCGGGACGCCATCATCGCCAGCGTGCTCACCGCCTCATCACACACCGTCGTGCTGAGCGTCTGCCTGTCCTCTGCCCCCGGAGCCAAGGAGCACCTAGTCTGGCAGGTGGGTACCTCCATCCAGCCCAACCTCTGGGTTCAGAGCTCAGGGGTTGACATCCACTTCAGTGCCAGCTGCAGACACTTTCAGCAAGGAAGTAGGAAGCGGGGCGCGGGATGTTGGGACGCGATGCAGGTCTTGTTCTGTGTGGTACCGACACACTTGTTTCTCCAGGGGGTACCTGGGACATTACAATCATCGTTTTCCTCACCATCCTCTACCTTGCTACTCATGCCCCCTTCTCTACAGAGGACAAAAAAAAAGACACAGAAGCTCCTTCTATCTCTGAATCTTCTGGCTGGTCCATGAACATGGGGAAATGAGTCCTTTAAAACTTGTTCTGCTGTGACAACAAATGGAGTTTTACTCATCCATGACATTTCAGAGACACTGTTCTATTTGATTGGTTAAAGGCATTTAAAAAGCAGTTTGCTTCCCTGGCTTGTGCATCCAGGGTTGCTGGTCTGGATTTTTCCCCAACACTCTCTTCTCCATGTGTGCATAAAGACAAGTTTTATTTTGCATCATGGAAATCAAACAGAACACATGCCGCTGTGCCATGAAATATATTGAGACTGAGAGCTGCTCTCGAATTGCCCAGTTGTTGGAAATGGGGATTTTAAACCTGGGTCAGCCGAGGCTGTTGTTGCTGAGTAACCAGTTTGTTATTAACTGGTGTTTTATTGTGCAACTTGAGTCAAACCTGGAGACTTACTGTTGTGTCTGTAGTAATATCTCATGGTTTGAGAGTTTTCTAGATATTCTTTTCCTAGCACCTGTAACATGAGTCCATGAAGATTAGGCTGAAAGACCTGTGTTTCTGAAACTTCCTCTTTATTTAAAAATAAATTTGTTGTCATCTCTCTCATTAGTCTGCAACATATGGAATTTCTGGGGCTTAAATGTCTCACCCCTGTATGTCTATCATTGTTGCCCACAGCCGTCCAGAGGACCCCACCTCCCCACCGCCCCCTCTCCCCTGGCCCTTCAACCCCAGTAATCCCCATGGTTTTCACTGGGGTTCAGAATTTGTTTTGTTCTTAGGAAGCATGTTTGTCAGCATCCATGAAGATGATGGCCCTTCCTGACTTTTCATGGGGGGGGACCCTGTTCCACGTTGGCTTCTGGGGGTCATGAAGGGATGTCCACTCCATGATGTGGAGGAAATCTCCTGCTCCTGGGTATTGCCCTCACCTGAACAGAGTAGACACAGACCAGTCAGCGGCATTGCTGTGGAGGCAGGGCAGTGAGCAAGCAGGAGAAAGAATGGTCAGGGTGTTGGTGTGAGCCCCAGATTTGTTCCTAGCATCAGATCCCTGAATAAGACCAGGTGTTGTTCTGGTAGGTAGACCGGGCACTGCCACACGGACCCTGGCAGCCGACTAGCACTGAGCCGAGTCACGGAACCACCATCTGATCATCTGGTTTGGGTGGTCAAAAGTTGAAAATGACCCCTGTACCGCTGAGTACTCCTTGGAAGGGTCCCTCCAAAGGACCCAAATGTTCTACTAAAAATGAAACTCACACGTAGGAAGAGATGAAAGTAAGACTCTTTTAGTTTGGACGTGGTGTTCTTGTTTGTTTGTGTTTTGTTTAATTTTTGTTTTGTATTTTGGGCCACTTTGAGCTGTGCCCAGGACTTACTCCTGTCTCTGCTCAGGGATAATTTCTGGTGGTCTTGAGGGATCATATGGGATGTCGGTGATTGAACCTGAGTCAGCCACAAACACAGCAAAGTCAAGCTGTCCTTCCCACTGTGCAGTCTCTGGTTCTGGCTCTGTTTTGTTTGTTAGTTTTGAGTCACACCTGGCAGTTCTCAGGGTTCCCCTGATTCGGTCCCTGACTCTCGGTGCCTTTTTGAGGAACCGCACAGGATTGGGGATCGAACCTTAACCTCTTGCATGCAAAGCCTATGCTCAGCCATGAAAGACTCTTTTTCACACTAGTTCCATACTGGCCTTGATCCCATTTTGTGAATTATGGATTCTTCTGGAGTCTGTTTCTGGGGGGTTTGCCTTTCTTCCATAGTGTTCACTCTTCGACCCTCTCAGTGTGATGCTGTTAAGTGCAACCTTAGGGATTCACTTCGGTGAGGACAGTGATTACGGTTTTACCGAGGAAGGAGTCGGCCTCTCTCCATGAGGTCACAGCTTGAACGTCACTGCAGAAAAGCTCACATTGCACCCATGATGGGGCATTCAAATATACTTTAAGGCTCTCGGCACCTCCGTGATTTGGGATGACCACGAACACATTCTTTAAACACTTCGTCCCACTCTTTCTTGCCTCCTCCTGAATAAGTGTCTGCTGGTACATATGGAATAAGAAATGGATGTGCCTACATCCATGCTTATTGCAGCATTATTTGCAGCAACCAAGATCTAGAAACAACTCGAGTGCTCAAGACCTGATCTACAAAACGTGTTCTAGATACGCGACGGGATTCTACTCAGCCCCGAGTAAAGGTGAATCTTGTCATCTGCTGCTCCTCAAATAGGGTTGGAGGGGGTTATGCTAAATGAAGTGAGTCAGGAAGAGAGGGAGAACCTTAGGTTACTCTCACTCATTTACCCGTTTGCAGAGTATGATGTGTGTGTTGGGGGTGGGGGGAATTATGACAAAACAAGGAATTAGTTCCCAGTGGAAACAACTCTGGGATATGCTCGATGGAACATAAGAGTGTGCTGGGATGGGGTGGAGGAGAGGCCCTTTGGTAGTGGTGGAGGGACCCTGGCGCTCTCATGGAGGCTGTTATGGGGGTGGGGGATCACTGCGTATATGAGTGATCCAGGTTCCTTCTTAAGAACCATCATCATCACTTAGTAAACAATACGTCTGTGAAGTGAGAATTGTAAGGCTTGCCTTTAAAGGATCAAATGGGTTTTTAGATCTTGTTTTTCATGTGTTTATTTGTTTCTTGTTTGGGGCCACACCCAGTGGTGCTCAAGACTTACTCCTGGCTCTACACTCAGGGATTGCTCCCGGTGGGCTCAGGGAACCATATGGGATGCCAGGGGTTGAACCCAAGCCCACATGTGCAAGGCAAGCGTCCTGCCTATTGTTCTGTCTCTCCAATCCCTCGAATGAGTGGTTTGCTTAAAAAAAAAAGAAGAAGTACTTTGCAAAGAGCTGTTGTCTTCGAGAGTAAACTTTCTCAGCCTTCTTCTGACCAGGGTCCTGTGGGTCCCACTTGGCTTCCCCCTTGATCTTACACTGCACCCACCATTTATATGGCCCTCTTGGCCTATCCTGGGACACATGGGGGGCATAGTGCCCCCCACTGGGAAATTCTGCTCACCAGCATCAGGCAGTGTTTGATCAATGCTATAAAGTTCATAAAAGTATTTATTTTGGATTGGTTAAAAAATGGGAAGAATGTAACCTAAAATCTTGGTTGACTCAGAAGTGAGAGTGAAGGAGAGAGATTGACACAGAATGATCCAGAACAAATGCCCATAGGAAACAGAAACTAAGAACAAGAATGGTCTTTAGTAAGAAACTTGGCAAGTTGGAGTGGGGAGGGAAGAGACGGGAAAGAGACAGGATGGCAGCGGAGGGAAAGGGGTATGAAAGGAGGCAAAGGGTTAAGCACGAATCCCTACGAGTGCAGTAATGTAGACCACAGTGCCTACACTCTATAAAGCACCTGTCATAAAGGCAGTCTGGGACGTGGGCAGGCGAGGGGATTGGGGGAATTGGTGGACGGCAGTGGACGCTAGTGAGGTTGACTGGTGCCGGCACATTGTATGCTTAAAGCCCAATGATGAATCACTTTGTACTTCACAGTGAGTAAATTAAAAAATTATTTACTCAGATCCCATAAGCAACAAATAAAAATGCTTCTCACTAGACAGAAGTAGGATCATTTTAAAATAGCAAAAAGAGTAAAAATGTATTACATGGTATTTTGTATAACAGCAACATTAAAAGAACAGAAAAATATCAGGGCAGTTTTCCATCTCGGTAGAAATAATTTCACAAGCTGAGAAAGGCAAAATATGCCAACAGCTTTAAAATAGAAGCATCCCAGGTGAACATCAAAGAGATGAAGAAAACAGCCAGAACTAGAGTGTATAAATCACAGTGGCCTGCGATGCCAGGGAAACACCGTGGGATTCTTTTTATGAGCCGTGTGTGTGTCAGGGGGCTTAGGTGGGGAAACCGCTGTGGTATGATTGTTGAAAGTAAAACAATTTCAAATAAAGAATATCTGTCTGCTGTGCTGAAGTTGATCGGTGATGATTAGCATCTCATGCTTCCTGAAACGGCAAGTGTGCATTGCTCAGCACAGATTCGTTTAGGAAGATTTTATTTCATGTTTTATACATTGTCAGTTCATTTACCCATGGTACCTAGAATCTTGGCTTTACAGGAGATCCCCTTTGATATCGAGTCATGTTCTAGAAAGTTCATTTCACCAGTATATGCCCTGAAGTAGAATTCATTCACAGGTTCTGTGTAATTTTGTTAACCACCAAAACTTATGAATATTTCCTCACACAGTGTATTATCCACAGTCCAATGCTGGGCTCTCCAATAGTTGACAATCTAGCTCAGCCCGTCATTTGAAACTTGGCAACTTCATAGCCCATCACTCCCGATTACTTGAGTGTTCACTACCAGACCGTTCAACTCAGTTACTAAGCCAGCTCTCAGAATCAGAAAACTCTCCTTGACTCACTGTCCGCCCCCCCCCCCCCCCCGGTCCCTGCAGCTTTTCCAGAAGCTTCTTCTATAACAAAGAGACCTGGGGGTAAGCCAGTGTTTCATGTATGCTCAGGCCTCTTTGGTGACCCCGTCTGGAACTCTGCCTTTCCCTGGTTTTCATCATCGTCATGTGCTTGTGGACTGAAGGATGGTTCCTTTGAACTGTGGTTTTTCACTTTGGGGTTTTAGGGATGTCAGCTTCCTCCCTCAGGCTCCTGGGGAACAGATGCCTTGATGATCTGTTTGCTGCGGGTGAGAGTGATTAACCAGGATGCGAGAAGGATAAAGAGACAGACAAG